GAAATGATACACAGTTGGACCAAGGAGATCGTGTCGAATAGGTGGAAATCCCGCCACACTTGACCCGAAGTGGGAGGGAATTTCGTTCGTAGGCGGAGCTTCCATCCTTTGGTGTTAGGTTATGACTCTTCGTGTATTTCACCAGCGTTCATCTGTCTTTGGATAAAATTCTCGCTCTTGCAATCTGTCCCGAAGGAAATCCGTGTTCGGGGCATTGGCGACATTTTTTTTCTGTTTTTTTTCTACACCACTGCCCTGGTTGTCATCTTTGCACCCTGTTTGAGCTACACTACCCAGAATTTCGGTCACGGGCCTTGTCGTCAATAATGTCGCCCCACTCTACATTGAAATTATTGTTTGTCGTCATTTATAGTTTTTAACATAGCCATTCGTTGGGGGCGGCGTGAGCGGCGCGGTTCGAGCCGCGTCCGGCTGCCTTGCTCTACCAATGGCGATCGGGTAGAGATCGATTTAGGAAGAAATCAACCACTGGTGGAAGCGCCGCAGGTGGGAACCGCTGATTGCGACCCGACAGGTTGCAATGAATAAACTGTACTTACTTTTACACTCGTCAAGGCTGTCAATGTCAACAAACAAACTGATTATCAAACTGTTAAGAGCACTTGTCGACATTTTAACACACAATACAATAATTGGACATATAATATCAATTAATGAGCACTATGAGAGCTTTTGTAACTGACGAATGCAACCGGGTTTCGCCATAAAATCATGGAAAATATCTCATTACTCTATCGGAACTGACAAAAATCGAAACATCAATATACTCTATGTGACTATGCTTTTTGTAAATCATCGGAATAGCCGTTCTTACGACATGTGGCCCAAATTCCAAGCGACAGCATCAGAACCACTGATATAGCGGCAGCGATTGCTTGAATGACTAACACGGTGTCGTTGTCTAGGGCATCGTATTCCCAGTGCAACGGATTTTCCGTCTAAAATAGTCGTACTACAGTAAGCACTATCTCTAAGCAAGGCGGTAACTAGTATTCGGGCTTTTGCGTCAAACTCCGGCAGTAATGAGTGCAAAAGGCCATGGGAGAGACACCAGATTCATGTTGGAGGATCAAGAGCCTCGGGTGAAACCAGCGCGGCATTTTTCAGTTGACTGCCACTGCGGCTGAAGCACGACCTAGTGATTCCGACTGGTAAGCACCTACTTATTGCGCGCGGCGCGGGCACCGGCCTGCAACATTTTTTGGCCTCCGATCCGAGACTCGGACTCGCGTTGCAACCTACACCCTAGCGATACCAACGCCGAAGGATTCGTGGCACGCCATGTCTGCCTACCTGCGAAATCTAAGCGATATAGTGTCCTAAATAGTTTTTTATTGCAACAAACCTATTTTGTGAAGGAAGTAGTGAATAGGAAATGAACCCATACTCGTTCTAACGCCTAATCAATCGCTTACACTATCTCGGTAAGAGGGCGCTGAGTAGCAAACATTATGTGGCCTAGTCGCGGGCCAGAACACCACAACCGACTTGCACTTTTGGATTTGAGACTATTTTGATGCAGTTGATCTTACCAGCTTATAGCAAAAAATTTCATCTGATGGGTAGTGAAATGGAGCAGGGGCTCTTTCCATCTCTCTTGATACCACCCCAACTGATTGTATCGATATTAACTGTGCAGTACAAAGTCGACTTGAAGATACCTGCTCCACCCCTGCTACCAAAAATATCCAGCATTAAGTGAGGAAGACACCCTGCGAATTGAAACTGTTTTGGTAGCCCTGCACAGTCTTCTGTTCAATCTATTCTTCTCCCAGCGCTGCTTATTTTCACGTTTCATATCTCGTCGATGAAGTGGGCGTTGCTGCGCTCTTCTTTTGATCGTGGCGGCAACATAGCTTTTGGCGGTATATTGCCGTTTTGAGACAATTGTAATCGGAGCGCGTAGTACGTTTGGGACCCCTAACGAGGAGGTCGTATTTGGTCGCTAAAGGGGGGGGGTGTCGTTTACCCCTCTGAGAGAATTGGTTTCAGTTGTTGACTTTTCTAGCTTCTTCCCGTTTCAAGTGCGCTCCACCCCTCCTCGGGTAGTTTTTTTGGAGAAACATGGGGAAGTTTTCGGAAAAAATTCTTAGAAAGTGGTAGAATGTTGTCAAAATTCAGAAGCTTGTAGGTAGAATGAGGCACTGGGAGCGGTGCATAACAGAGGAGCCAATTTTGAGCGGGAACGTATTTTACGAAACGGCAGGACGTGCCCTGATTATAATCATGTATTTGTCCAGCCCAAGACATGATGACAGTTGTCTCACATGGAACTACCCACAAAAAAACGCATACATCATCAATTTCAGAAGTACTACGCAGCCACGCCCTCCTCATCTCCAGGACAAGGTGTGCGCAGTCTCAGAGTTCCAGTACTTGAAAATCGGCTACTACTTTTAATGGGCAAACGAGGAAAGTGGTCAATTTGCTTGCAACAGAACAGTTGCTTTCGGCGAGCTTTTAAGAGATATCAGTCAATGACAGCTGACCCGTCATCTCAAGTTCAGGGAGGTCGCCGGCAAAAGTCTGCGGTGTCAGCCATTGCATCCGCGTGTGTGTTTGATTCATTGCAATGCAATTGCAATCCTGCTGTTTGAAACGCTTGTCTGTTCGCAGGGCGCTCGTACCCATGCGCTAGCTCCGCCTCATCCACCAAGCCGGCTGCTCTTGCAGCCGCAGCAGCAGTTGCAATAGTGGGCGCGCGGTGATGTTCGAAGGCGGGGGCGTTATGAGTCGCTCGCCGGTCGCTCGGTGGAATGTGTGACATGTCGCCTCGTCAGCTAAAGTGAAAAGAGAATATCGGCCGTGACGACCAAACGCGCTGAATGGAGAATTGGCCCCGTTACAAAGCCAATTACCACTGTTGAACTACTACGTTGCTATGCTGCTATTTGGATCGTCTACGAAATACGGAAGTTGGGAATCCCCAGCAAGGAGGGGGATCGTATTAAGTCGCTCGAGGATGGGAATCGTACTTGCTCTTGAGAAAATTTATTCAGTTTTTGACTTTTCTGCGTTTCCCCTCTCTCATGCACTCCTCGCTTGACAGCAATTTCTTGGAAAAAAATCTCCGCAAAAAGCGGTAGGAAGATGAAAAATCTAAGGAAAATAATGGGTTGGATTGGGAATGAGGAGGAGATGTGAACTAAAAGTGGAAATCTCGAGGTCAGGGTACAGCATTGTTGTGTGAAACACATAGGGGGTCGTATTTTTCCGCGGGGAGGGGGTCGGGAGGTTGGGAGTGATGCCACACACATAGGGAACAGCACTCCTATGAGGAGTTAGGAGTAAAAAAGCCAAGATGATTTTTTTCCACTGTTTCTGGCATTGTGAAGGAGGTGGTGCAGTGGCAAGTGGCACACATACCATGCCTACGGTCAGAGGCTAAAATATTGGTATATGGTGGGTATATGGTATGGTAATATATGTATTTGGTCTTAGAGAGAAATTCCCTGCGTTGAGAAAAATCCCCTCCCCTTCCCCCTCCC